GGGGGCCAGTGAGCCTGGGCAGTGAGGGAGGGAGAGAGGATGGAAGAAGGAAGGGAAGCCAAGGTCAGCATGAGGGGCTTGCTGGACGGCATGGGGCCCCATTGCCTCTCCCGCTGTATCTTTTTCAACTACAAGCACAAAACAGGAAGAGGACACACTGCCTCCTTGGTTATTTTTTGGGAGGGGGTAGTACTAGACATTCAACCCTGGGCCTCTCCACTGAGCTATGTCTCTGGCTCTTTTTGTTTATTATTTTGAGACAGGATCTTGCTGAGTCTCTAGGAATCTTTTTTTTTTTTTTTTTCTTTTTTTTCAGAACCGGGGATTGAACTCAGGCCCTTGTGCTTGCCAGGGAAGCGCTTATTCCACTGAGCCATCTCCCCAGCCCCCTTTGCTGAGTCTCTAAATTGCCCAGATTGGGTTTAAATTTGCAATCCTCCTGACTCAGCCTCTTAAAGCATTGGGATTACAAGCGTGTGCCACTACCCCCAGGCTGCCCTGGGTTTTAATGTCCCCCTCTTTCATGACAAGGTGCCTCAAGACCTGCCAGAAGGTAACCAGGAGGTTGGACTGTGTGCAGGTGACCTCGGCCATGGCTGCCCCCGAGCTCCCTCCACTGTCCACTCAGGATTGTGCTCCTGCCCTTTCTGCCCCTCAGCCACCCTGCTGTGGGGCCCTCATCCTTCCTGCCTTTCCTGGGACACCCGTCCTGAGCACTAGCTCGCCCCACACTGCTCCTTCTGCCCTGAAGCCTTTCCCTGCTCTGTGTGCTTAGCCCTCAGGTCCTTAGGGTCTCACCTTACATGTTGCATCCTCAGGGACCCTGGACCCCTTTGCCACCCAGCTTATAGGCTCTCATCTGGCCTCTGTCCAGATACCCTGTTCCTTTCCCTGGAACTGCAGCCTCGGCTTCTAATCCTGCAGTCCTTCTGGCCTGCCAGGTGCAGGAGGGCAGCCTGGCTGTACTCACCGGTGCTGCCCCCGCCCCCTCATTCACCATTGGCGGTAAATAACCACTCAGTAGACCAGTGAGTGAGGCCAAGACGGCTCAGCCAGGCGTGGCTCAGCCAGCCAGGCAGCTGCCCCACCCCCACCCCCACCTCTTGCATCCACAACCTTGTGCATCCTGATTCCCCAGACAGGCGATTTGTACTGCGAAAAGCACCCAGTGGTCCCCAGCTCCTAGTGTAGTCTGAGCCACCTCCAGGAACTTCTCTGCTTATCTTCAGCTTCCACGGGAAAGTAGTTGTTCCCTACCTGGGACTCGGGGAGGAAGGGAAATGCAGGTGTGCGCCAAACGTAAGTTGAGGAGCCAGCCAAATGGCTCAGTGGACTACAGCGCCTGCTTAGGCAGAGTGCAGCGGCCCCTGCCCCAGGGTGTGCTGAGACAGCACGTGGTGGCGCGCCCCTGTAATCCCAGTGCTTGGGAGGCTGAAAACAGGAGAATCACTACGAGTCCAGGGGCTGGGGATTTGGCTCAGCAGTAGAATGCTTGCCTAGCAAGCTGGAAGCCCTGGGTTCGGTCCTCAGCACCAAAAACAAAAAATAAACCTACCCTAAAAAACAATTCAACCAAAAAAATACAGCAAAATCAAAAAAAGGACAAAAACAAACAAGGCAACTACGAGTCCAGTCTACAGAGTGAGACCTTGTAGAACCTGTACTAAATACATAAAAAAAATAAATAAATTGAATGTTTAAACAAAATGTAAAAAAGACACAGTAGTGTGAATCCCCCTCAGAATGCCCTGCCCCCACTGTGTGCATACTTAGCCCATTATTCTTGCCATTTTCTGCAGCAGCTCTGGAATCCTCTTTTGTGAGTATCTTTAGTTATACTCGGGCTACCTTCAGCTATTCAAAACATTGATCTTTTGTGGTTGTTTTGACTTTGGGGAAGAGCCAGCAGCCTCTCGGTGCCAGATACACTGAATAAGGTGTCGGGGACCTACCGAGAAGGCTTTCCGTACGAGCCTGCCTTTCTGTTGGCCGGCCCTTGGCAGCAGCAGTTTGAGTAGTACCTTGTAAAGACACTCAGGAAAGAACTTCCAGAGCTGCTTCAGGAAGTGGCGAGGGGGAAGGGACAGGTGTGTTCTAAGCGAGGAGGAGTGTGCTGAGGAGGATTCATGGCAATGTGTCTTTTACTGTAATAAAAATTTCGAAAACTCAGCATACATTTTGATCACATCTCATGTGTGAAGGTGGTGACAGCATCTTAAAAATGCTGGAGACACGGAAGACTGGGTGTGCGTCACTGTTGCTAGCACAGGTAGAAGGCGCTTGGGTGAGAAGTTAAGAGAGTCAGGACTAAGAACATCAGCTGTGGAGCTGACTGGCCTGTGTGCAAATCCGACTTCTCCAGCGGTGCTCCCTCCGACCCTGAGCAAATGATTTTAGCTCTCCAAGCCTCAGTTTCCTTGTCAATGAAACAGAATGCAGGGCTCCCTCATAGGGTCCTGGCCCAGAATGAGCCCTGGATAAGTGCCAGTGCGCTTGTCTCCACTTACTGTTCTTCAGCACTAGGCATGTGAGGGGCAGAAGGTAGCTGGGAGATTAGACCGTAGAGGAAGCTCCTGGCGGGGCTGCGAGGCTGAAGGAGAGAGGAGAGAGGCCATTCTCATCTCCTTTCCCTCCTGGAGCCAGGGGAGGCAGAAAGGCGGAAGAGGGAGAGAGGCCTGGCAGCAAATGACAAGATTAGGTGGCAAGGTGACAAGGAAGTGGTGGTGGGGGCGACGCAGACAGATAGCTTAGAGGCATAAGCACCTACCTGGTAAGCACAAAATCCCTAGTTCAATCCCCAGCCCCACATGCCATGTGGTCTCGGCCCCAGGTCTCCGAGCTCACTGTCTCAGCCCCAGATGCAGGCAGCCCTGGAACCCAGGCGTGGGGGGTGCATGCCTATAATCCCGGCAATGAGGAGGTTACGCCAGGAGGATCTCTGCAAGTTCAAGACCAGCCTGGGGGGCTTATAGATGTGAGCACAAGGCCAGCTTGAACTGCACAGTGAGACTGTCTTAGAAAAAAAAAAAAAAAAAAAGAAATGGTGGGGCAGGGATGGAGGGCAGAAGGGATCTTGTGCTCTTAACGGTCACCCAAGTCCCCACAGAGCCCAGAAAGCTTAGGAGAGTCTCACGAGTGAGCTGTGGCCAGTTACCAGAGGAAATAGGAACCACTCAACCTGCCCCTGGTCTGGGCAGACTATGTCATGAGACACAGTCCTTTTTGTCAGCCCATCTTGATGTCCCACTGGGCCCAGAAAGGACAAACTGGAGAGTGACAGAACTTGATTCTCCACCACCCTCTTATGCTTAAGGTGTCTTTGGAGTAGGTGCTGGGAATTTCAGGAAGGCTGGGTGTCAGGCAAGGGGACCCAGGGGGCAACACAGAAACACCCAAACATTTCCATGTCCCCTCCCCTTCAGTGCTCAGCATTGGGGAAGGAGGCTTCTGGGAAGGCCAGGTCAAAGGTCGAGTTGGCTGGTTCCCTTCTGATTGCCTGGAAGAGGTGGCAAACCGCTCTCAGGAGGGAAAGCAAGGTAAGGAGGAACCTCTGCACCCCCTAGAATTCTTAGGGCCTTTTCCCACCTCCTTCCAGGTGTGGGGTGTGAGAGGTGGATGGGAAGACTTCAGCTTGTGGTTTCCAAAGGGAGGGTCCAAGTTTGTCCCTTGTTCCCCAGCAGAAAGCCGCAGTGACAAGGCAAAGAGACTCTTCCGACATTATACTGTGGGCTCCTACGACAGCTTTGATGCTCCAAGGTAAATGTCCTTACCCCCTCAGGTGCCCCACCACCTGAACCCACACACTTTAAATATAGCCATCCTGTCTAATCTTCCTCTCCCTTTCTTGTCGTCTAAAATTTGAAGGGTGGAAGAAGGCAGACCCCAAATCATCCTTGGCAGCCACTGAGGCTGTCCAGCTCTGGGGAAGCCAAGACTAATGGGGGTAGGGTAGGGTGGGGGTTCCTGGCGGTGCTTTTGTGTGTGTGGCTCATGGGAGGCCCTGGTCCCTCCACGTGCCTCCCTCAGCCCCCATCTCTGTGTGGTCCCATGCAGTGGAAGTGTGCGTGTGCCCCGTGCCTGTTGGGGGGCAAGCCGAGGGGTGGGGTGGATGGGCAGAAGGGCACACTGACGCCTTTCCCTCCCTGGCTGCTGGCTGACTTGCTTCGGAAGCTTGATGGATGGGATTGGTCCAGGGAGGTGAGAGGGGAGGAGCTGGTGGGGAGGGGACTGGTCAAGGTGGGAAGGACGGGATGCTTGTGGGGTAGACGAGTGTGTGCGTGTGCATGGCCAGAGTACAGGTCCGCGTGCGCGAGTGAACGTGTGTCCTTGTGGGTGCGCATGACATGTGTCTGTGTGCATGTGTGGCTGGATACCCCTGGGCCCCAGGCTCTGTCCCACTGTGTAGATTCGCGTGTACTTGTGTCTGCGCACTGTGGGGCTGGCTGTGCGTATCTGTGCTTCTGCGTCTGCCAGAGGTGTCCGTGTGTCTGCTCACACACGTGGCAGGGGGGCTGTCTTCCTGCATCTGTCTCTCTGCGCATGTCAGAGTGTGCATGCCTTTGCATCCTTCAGCAGTCTGGAGTTCAGGACCTAAAATGTTGGGGGAGGGAAGGGCAGAGGAGGGAGGACTGAGGGCTTGGGTTCCCAGAGGGCAGGGCTGGGGGCGGTATGATTCGGTGTCTGAAAGATGACACCCTCGGCCGCCGCACCCCTAATCCAGGGAAGGGTCCCCTTGTTCGTAGCATCCTTCCATTAAATGTGTCCAAACCTATGTGTCTGTGTTCTGGCCAGTGGGGATTGGTCGGGGCTGAGGGAGGGGAAGAGAAGTGACAACGCGGGGAGAGAGGGTGGGGCTGGGGTGCTACCCTACGCCCCGAGGGTCTGAGGCGCTTGACCACTAGTGCGTGTTCACCTGGCACGTCTCCCGCTCTGGGCACTGAGTGAGTATCGAGGTCCCTCACCCCGAGTCCCCCGCCGGCCTCTGCTTCTTGTCTCTGTCTGGTTCTCTCCTCGCCTGGGTCTGGGGGTTCCTCCCTCACTTGCTGATTGTGACCCTGTGAGCCTCACTCCTTCCTTCCCCCTTCTGTTCGCTGCCCTTCCTGCCCTCCTTGGCTCCTGTGCTAATGTGTGTGGTTGTCTGACCCCCTCCTCCTCCTGCCTTTCCTGCGCTCCCTGTCCCTGGCCCTGTCCGCAGCGGCCTGGCCCGGGTGCCCTGCACCCCAAGGCTGCCCCACGCATCCATCATCCGTTCTCGTGGAGCTGGGCCCTCCTGCTGCGTGTGCCTCCTTGTTGGCGAAGCCACCCGCTCTCCCTGAGCGGGTTGGGGTCTACGCTCTCCAGTGAGCGTGGTGCGTGTGTCCCTACGCCAGGGCCGCTTTAGCGGGGAAGGCTGGGTCCAGCCGGCTCCGAAAAGTCCTGGCTTGCCTTTGAGGGTCCTTCCAGACAGTGTGTCGGTCTGTGGTGTGGGCTGTGTGTCCCCTTCTTGGGGCCTCTGTCTCCCGTGATGTCCCTGCCTTGAAGTGGGACTCGGTCCGCTCATCCCTGCTGCACGCGGTCTCAGGCGTCTCGGCGATGTTGTGCGTCCCTCTCCCCGCGCGCTCCCTCGCTCTGCACCTGCGCGGGAGGGCTCTGGAGGGGGGAGGGGGCAGGGGGCAGACCGGAAGTGCCTCCCTTCCCCCCCGCGCCTCGCCCCTCCCCCTCCTCCCGCCGAGGGGGCCCGCGCTCCCCTCCCGGCCCCCTCCCCCCGCCGGCCCCTCCACCAGCCGGCGCAGGACGCCAAGGGGTTAAAGCCGCGCGCCCGCCGCGCCGCGCAGAGCTGTCCGCGGTGCTGAAGCCGCGCCGTCCGCGGTCCTTGCGCTCCCCGACCCCGCGCCCC